CCATTATTTCAGATTTTTCTGCATTCATTTTCAGTCCACCCTTTTCCAGACTCCTCTGCCATTTAAACACTTTCTCCTGTAGTTCTACTTCTGAATCTGCCATCAGTGCCACATCATCAGCAAAGATGAGTTCCCAAGGCACTTTTGTTCTTACCTCCTTGGCAGTGTGTCAATAATGTTTATGAAAAGGAAAGGACTTAGTGCTGATCCTTGGTTTACTCCAACTGTGATTTCAAACTCTTTTGTCTTTCCCCGTTGTGTTATCATCTTCGTATTTGCATCTCTATAGGTTGCTTGAACTAACTTCACCATGCTTTCTGGTACTCCTTTCTTCCTCAAGCACCAATACACCACCTCTCTGGGCACACGGTCATATGCCTTCTCCAAGTCCAGAAAGGCCACATACAGCTTTTTCCCTTTCTCTAGTGTCTTCTCCTGTAACTGTCTCATCACAAAAATGGCATCTGTTGTGCTTTTCCCCGCTGAGAATCCAAATTGTGAGTTGTGGATCCTGACTATCTTCCTGAGTCTCTTATCCAGAATTTTTTCCAGGATTTTCAATCCATGTTCCAGAAGTCTTATTCCTCTATAGTTTTTACACTCCATTGGGTCTCCTTTCTCCTTGTAGATGGTAACCATACTGCTTTTTGTCCATTCTTCTGGAATTCTCTCTTCCTTTGCAATATTGTTTAGCAATCTCGTCAGCCACTGAATCTCCTCTTCATCGAGGTTCTTAAAGTGTTCTGCTGCTATTCCTGATGGTCCAGTTGCTTTGCCCACTTTCATCTCTTTGATAGCTTCTGTCACTTCCTTTACTGAAATTTATTGGATTGGTCCACACACTACGTCTGCCTCCACTAGGTTCTCCCTCTCATTTTCTGCATTTAACAGATTTTTGAAGTATCTGTATCTGAACATAAAAGCTTCTTCCACCTCTGCAGCATCATATATGATTTAAGGGAGGTCTTTGTGCTTTAAGGCTTTTTTCTCACCCATAGAGGCCAGCTTTATGCATGGACCAGGATATTGTCTGGTGATCCCCCATCTCAGACATAATGTTTTGCAAATTTTTCCACGTCACTGTTGTCTTAACACTGACATCTCATCTCATCACAGATCTTCTGATCTGTGTAACTTTACCTCTTTAACACTGCTTTCTTTCAAAATCTCATTAGTGTTCCTGATTTGTTGTATTATAATGTGAACTGTAGCTTCAAATTCAATGTCCGGGTGAACTTAATGCGTTGGGTGCAGGTATGCTGAAGTCAAATCAAGCCATTCTGATTACAGACAGAGACCACTTCACTACTTTTGTGACTTTTCAAAACACAAACTGATATAAATTGCCTTAGCAAAAGAGTTGACTCATTATGCAACGGAGAATCTTCCAAGATTCTTTAAAAATATTATTTATTTTAATACATTCAGCATTTTAAACTTGATCAGTTTGGAGTAAATAATGAATATACAAAATCCATTTTGAAAGTGAAATGTCATGATTGCAGCCACAAAATGTAGAAATGTTGTAGGGGTTGAATACTTTTGCAAGGCACTGTATATGTGTGTGTACGCTATATATGTCTTACAGAAATGTTTATATTATATAAAGATATATGAGTATACTGTATATACCGTATGATTTATCACACATTTTCTACCACCTACCAGAGAGTAGGAGGATGAAAAGATGACTGCTGCACTAACAGTACAGCTCAGCTCTGATGAAACCCCATCCCTGTTGTGTCCTCTAGTTAAATTAACAATCAGGCACACATCTGGTAGTATGGCAGTGAATCCTTTTCTCCTTCAAACTCAAGAAGGTTCCAAAATAATTCTTTGACCTCTGAATAAGCTATCCAATTTAATCAGAACCATATATGAAGACGTAATAAAACTAAAGTGGTGCATAATGTGATATAAACAAGTACTTCACTTTAAAACACTGTAATAAACAATGGAAAGAGACAAAGTCTCATTTGTCGGGCTTCACGTCAAGTCTAACAACGCCTTTTAACTGTGATTATATTTACGATATAGCACGGCCTCTCATTCCTTATTGCTTAAATATGTTCTATACTTAGATAAATCTCACTGGTTATTTTCAAGATTAATCTATAGTTAAAGATAACAGTTTGCACATCTTCTGTTACTCTCAATACTTGGAATTACATTTAGCGTTACTGTACAAGTAAGGACATTGATGCATGTTGATTTTTAACATAACTACAGGTAGCAGAAAGCTACTAATTCCAAATGTGCTACAGTATATATTAGGATCTTTGTTTTGGATTCTTAAAGCACACAATTATGAAGCAAAATATCAGAAAATAATGTCAATATAATTTCAAATACATTGTAATTAGAAATGGGAAACTAGAAGTTAGTCTTTTTTTCTAATTAATGTTACCTTTTCAAGATCACGCAACTTCAAACAGATATTTTGTAATTCCCCCACCACACACAAAACAAAAAGACTACAGGTGTCAAGTTCATTCATAGAAGGTCTATATAGATATCTCCAGTTCCTGAAGAATAATAATCCATCCATTTTCTAATGGCAAATTCTATACAACTCAGGGTGGCGGGGTTGCTACAGCCTATCCCAGCATACAACAGATCTGGTAGAGCACCTGGAGGAATAAGAACCCATTCACAAAAGGGGAAAACATAAAAAATAATGCAGATAATAATAATAATAATAATAATAATAATAATAATAATAATAATAATAATAATAATATCACTTTATTAACCCTTTACAATTTATTGCATTAGGAGTTATCTTCTCACATAACCCAGCTTGGTATACAGTATAGGGAGATAGGGAGCACCCTAGGTCTGTTTTTGATTGAAAATTGATTGCAAATTTTAAAAACAATTTTTTAAAAGATGGGTGGCTGGATAAAAATTGACCACAAATGTATTTGTTCACTCTGTACTACTACTCATGAGATATAAACTAAGTTGTTCTCTTAAAAGTATGCCTTTTGTCTTAATCTAATTTAGCTCCAAAAACCATTGAATAGTTCCATCTGTAGTGTCATAAACACTGCACCACCACAACAAATTATTTTAATACTAATGACTTTTCTTCTCAGTTCACCATCAAATTTCCAGAATGATTTTCTTTCACTGGGCAATAAGAACTTGTACTGTAAATAAAAAAACCCATGACGTCCTGGCTTGGGTTCTTTGTTTATATGCATGACCCAACTCAGAATGAAAGATTCTAAACAAGTGGAATAAAACACATAATTATATAAAAGGAAAGTTTACAATTTTGTTAAGCAACAAATAATGCCAACAACAGTGAAACACAAAATGTATCTCAATTATATGTTTTACCAAAGCTCTATTTTTTTTAATTCACTTCAGACATTTGAACAATCAAAAACTAAATTCTTCTGTAACCATGGGAATAAAAATGATTTTAAAAGCACCTGCATGTACTTAACTTAACATATTTTGTTCTCATATTCTGAAATGTGAGACTGTAGAGGGCACAACAGAAAATGTTACCATACCTGAAGAGCCACAGCACCAAATCTGTACAGTTAGATTAGACATTTGCCTTTTGCCTCAAGCATGCGTTTGTTAAACTCTATGTTAAGTCCATAGACTGTGTTCTGTTCCTCAGTGAGCTCACAATCTGTTACTGCAAACAATGGGCAGTTAGTTTGAGCTGCCAGTCTCAACTGAGCTTGCTAACTACAGCATCTGTTTTAATGAACCCACTCAGCAACAGTAACAACAGCATTTTGGGAGTCTGAGTGGGATATTCCAAAATATCACTCTGCCAAGACAAGTTGGAAGTGTGTAGAAACTTTTTCATACCACTTCTGAGTACTCAAGTGTATAGGGGGAAAGACTATTTGGTATAAAAAATAAACAGTTTGAATGTCCAACTCATATAAGTGTTTGATACAGATTTATAGAGTCTTTAGCCTGGAGTGCAGTGCAATGGGAAAGCTTGTGGTTGTATTTATAAACAGTAGCAGCTGTTGTCACAGTAGGCTTCACTGTCTAGTTCCATAGGAAGAGTTACACTCCTTTTCTCCTCCAGCCTGGACTCCAGTCATGCAGAAGTCAGCATCATATTATCTTTTGACAGCAGGATATGAATTTCCCCTAATAAAACCACGTCACTTACATGGGTTCAATATTCTTATTGACAAGGAAGTTTCTACAATGTCCACTGCAAAATTACCTCTTGCTACATAAAATCCCATCACTTGTTTTTAACTGGATTTAAAATTAGAATTGGCATTTGTGTATAATGTTACCTGAACCATTTATAACCTAAAACTGTAATTAAACTGTTTATCCTTTTGAAGTTGTCTATTTTAACATTCAGAAGCAAGACATTTTTGTCCTCAAAGGACACATACTAACCAAATGACTGAACTGCAATGTCAAACAATCAATGGGTCATCTGAAGAAAGTGTGTTGGATGTTAAGAAGTGAAGGAAAACTGTATAGACGGGGCTAAGGAATGCTTAGAAACTTTATAGGAAACCAACCTGTATCGCCATAGTGAAATTCTGAAGCATTCTAGTTATCAAACAACTAAAAACCTAGGAGGCAGGGGCACGGAAACAAACAAAACTGAATCATGCTTCATCAGAATTTCAAAGTTTTATAGAGCTGGGCAAAAACAGTTGCAAACACTTACCTTCAAAAGCCAAAAGGATGACCAGCAAGCAGATGAGAGCACAAATGCATGGCACCAAAATAAACAGCAGGAGCCGGAGGTACTTGGCAGATCCCATTTTCTGAGAGCAAGCATCCCCCATATTGTCTTCATCTGTCCCCAACACCTGTTTTGGACAGAAGTGTATTTAATGTAAAGTAGAGAGAGAGTTTTACTTCTTAAAGCTACCCTCACAGTTCGGGAAATGTTTAGTTTAGCTTTCATTCTCAGTTCAAGAAAAGTACCATTGGGTACAGGTGAATGTATATGTGGTTGGGTGCAGGTAAATATCAGATCAAGGTTTGCGATAACAATAACAACAGGTAATAACCACCCTCCTCGCCTTGCTTTATATCATGTAAAATAGTTAAAATATATCATATAAATAAATGATCGCCGATTCTAAATGATTACCGCCTTTGTAAATCTTCGTCTTCAGAACTGGCAGTGATTTTCTCAGTCAGATGCTGTATCTTACCTGAACCAATGTCACAGGCATATATCCCCTACCCTGTCTCTGACTCTGATTAGAGAAGCCCGTTACTTTCAAAGACGAACTGTAGCTTTCAAACAGTAAACGAAGATGGTTAGTTTTCAGACTTACATTAAAGCAGGGCTTGTTGCTGCAGCGGCAAAGGGCATGGTTTTAATTTCAGAGTAACCGATGCCCCTCTCCTTCTCTACGATAACGATTTTTAAGACAAGATCTTCAGAACCGTGTCGCCGCATTGTAAACCCGCTGGGTCCTAGTGCTCCATGCTCGACTGCATATCGGCTCAAATAAAAATAAGATGTTTGTATGTGTATAAAGTTTGCAAAAACGATGCGTGACAGGTGATATGAACTTGAAGACGTAGGGTTTTAAGGAGGAACTACATAACATGTTTTTTCATACTAGAAAAACAAATTTGCTCATGAAATTATGAATGAAAATGTGCCATGTCATGGCTCCAGATACTGTGTGCTCAATATTAATATTTTAAGTTGTAATTTCTATGTCATTAAATAAACGTGAATGGACGTCACCTTCAATTCGGAAGTTCAAGGTTTTGGCTCAGCCGTTTTTCTCTAATAGGCAGTGAGTGAAAACCCTCCAGAAATTAAACGAAACAACAAAATACAATTTTGGTAACATTATACACAATATAGCTACAGTATGTAAAACAAAAGCTGTGTGGGTGCTACTGTAACTATAGAGTTCTAGCTATACACGTTTAATGCGTAAAGAGGTGCTACACTCTTCGTTTTCACACTCTCAACTTTAAAGGTTTAAATGACGAGAAAAGCACCTGAACACCATACAAACTGTGACATTCAGTATAGTATATATAGTACAACCTATCGGAACGCATCTATATCCGAAACAAGGGCGAACGTTCTACTACTGGACTTTTATATTTAAAAAAATATATATTTACGTTTGTGGAAACCATTAAAACTTTGAACTAACATGACAAGCTCATGCAATATTCTGACATCTCTCTGAGTGGTTTTGTCTTGTCGGCTGTCATCTTCTTAGCTAGTCTGGCTAAGCGCTAGGACCCAGCGCGTCCTTAACAATGTCTCCGCAAGACCCCCAGTGTGTCTGCCTGCCTATTTTTAACCAGGTATTTCGGATTTCAGACTTTCCATTCCAGTGCCAGTAAGTGGCAATGGAACTATAAAGAATGGGGGATCTGAAATCCCATCTCGGGAGAAAGATTATTTTTAGACTCTTGGAGGGGGACTGAAAGCTCGTGTCTTTGCCGGGTGTGAGAATTTGGCAAAGTGACGAAAAGGTAAAAGGCTTCACACTTTGTTGCCCAAAATAAGGGTGGGAGAGACAATCGGGAACACGTTCGCCAGATTTAGACTATGCGTAATATTTTGTGTGGGCTATGTTACACGAAACAGTTGTAAGAATTAACAGATAACGTCAGCATTACCCAAGGAATGCGTGGACATATTACCAGAACAACAGCGCTAACAGAATAAGAGACACTGGTGCATTCAAAATACATTAGCAATGAATAAATAGTAACATCTGTCTTAATTTAACAGATTTAACAAAGGATTAGGGTTATCATCATCATCGTTATCGGCATCATAACCGCAAACATTTACTTTATTGACTGTACCAAGTGTACACAGGATTTCATCCGAGACGTTAATACTAATTTAAGAGTTTGCATTCTGTGAACCATCCCAGTCGGATTCTTCAGCAGCCGACAGGCTTCTAACTAACCACCTGTCTCGAAGCGCCCCATGCGCCGGGGTTCACAAAGCAAAGCCGAATGATGCCAAAACGTTGGTCGAATAAGTAGATGCCGTTTTAAGCGACTGCTAATGTAAACGTATAATGATAAGCACCCAATCGATTATGAACGTCTGTGTAGTCTATTTATTCAGATTGCGGCTGGGACATGTACTCCGAGTTCAACTACCCTGGCACACCTCGCCGCTAAACTATAATATCAGTCTGCTGTTCTCTTTACAGAAATGAAGGATATACTGTACCGTATGCCAAAAACCGAATAACGTTCTTCGAGTTACAGTGACAAAGGCTATTAGTAATTGATTACACCGATAGAACATAATATATTGTGGTGTTTTCCACGTTTAATGGGTCCAGGAAACTCACATTCTCGATTTCATTGTGAAAACGATTAAGAATACTTTACAAATTATCGTGGCTTTCATGATTGGGTGAATTATGAATTGCAATATTTTTCCTACACAATACGTATACGATGGTGCCAAAAGTTCCCATTATGCCTTGCAGATATGTAATTGTCAATTCAACTGCAAACTGCATGTTTTCTACCAACACTTTTGTCTTGCAAGGAATTGTCGCTGTGACATCTGGGTGAAAACGTGTAATGAGAATGGAAAGCGCGTTTACAGTAGGAGTGAGAGCACGTACTGTACTGTATGTACATCTTAGTTAAATTAAAGATAGTCTTCATTCTTCCAAGATGCAAAACAAATTTGAAATTTGCAGCAGCAACAACAGCAATAAACTTTGCTACTTTTTAGACTTCCTGCATCAGTTTATCTCCTAGTTTTTGATAATTTGATAAAATTACAGTATTTAAAACGTGTGAAATACAGTATGTATTCGCTGAAATACAACCAAAAAGAATATTTCTAGGGTGACAAAGAAAATAAGTAACACTTAATATAACTGAGAGAAACCCCAGGTGACCAAAAAGCTATTGAACAAACACTTGTTGAGCGAACATTGTTTTGTTACTTGTGCGCTCACAAAAGTTTTACCAATTTAAATGCTGTAAATACCATAGTATTCCGAAAACTTCAGAATTAAATAATTCTGGGCTAGAATATACACATCTTAACTTCGTTCGGATGTATATAAAGTATATTCTAAATACAAAAATACAAAAAAGTGTTGATCATTCATTATATATTAGCACATTAAATTAAAATGCGCACAGTTGAATAGGCAACTTCCGACAAGCATCTTTTTGTACTCTCTATCCTCGGGTACCGCACTCATTTCAATCATGTCCAGTTTATTCCTTTTCTAAAACATATGCATTTTTTAGAGGGTACATTTTAATACAAAGCAGATTAAAGATTGCGATTGATTCATTGGGCATCTAGAAAATGAACATCAGGTTAAAACTGTCAGGATTCCGACATACAATTTTTGCCATGTAAGTCTTTTTCACGCAAGTATCAGATAATTTGTCACAACCTGAGCCTTTTCAGATATTTTAACGTCTCTCATAAAACAATTATGAAATGCGATTATTGAATTGTGAAATGTGAATAGAACTCGCTTACCCCGTTATTGGAGCCGACGTGCTGGTATTGCTCTCCAGGGTTTAGTGAAGTAAACTGTTGCATTGACAGCATGACAAAGCGTCGCTCATCCACGCATTTCCCTCTCACTTTTCTTATCCCTCTCTCGTCATGAGATTCCTCCACCGGGAGAAGTAGCCTCATTTGTACTGACACTGAGCTGGCACATGGAGAGTACGGGGGGTATCTTCCTCTGCATTCTGCCCACAAACCCCACCCTCAAACCCCACATAAGACCAACTCCCCCAGGTTTTTTTTCATTGTATTTAGAGCCAAAAACATGAAAAAGCTGTCAAAGCGATGACTTCCTGCTCCCCCGCTCATGCAACCGAACACGCACCGATACAGTACTGTACTGTAGGTGTATGCGCGCATCACGTACTTGAATATAATCAACTTAAATGCCTTAGATTTAAATTGTAGCCGGAAACCTTTTTTACATCCCATTCTCCAGATATGTATTCTGTATACCGTTTTGGAGTCTATTGGCTGTCACAAAGACTGGGATATGTCGAAAACCCCCCCAAAAAACTTAGCAAACATGGTTGTTGTCCATTACCTTGAAAGAAATCTTAAGAGGCAAAAAATTTCTGTCGTGCCTATAAAATGTTTATTTCGGCGCTTAGAACAAGGAGGTAGAAGGCAAGGAAGATAAATACAGTATTTTTTTAGATATTATCATATAATCTAGTGTTTAATAAATACTGCTTAAGGTTAGTTAAAGAATATTCAATTACTATCTTAAGACCCAGAGAACTCGCAAACTGCCTGAGTAGATAAGTTTCCGTACTCTCAAGAAATACTGTAACTTATCAGGGACCTGTCAAGCTGGAGCTTCATGACAAAAATAAAGAATAGTTGGAACTTTTAAGTAGTTTTTGACCCACATAAATCAAATACTAATATGTCAATCATCAACATCTTAAGTAAATGCTTCGCCATCAACTATCTTCCCACTAATTTCCAATTCAGATTTCACTATATCATTCTAATAAAAAAAAACACTTAAAAACCCTTCTTAAATGTGGTGCAGAAAACACAGCAAGCATAATTAGTGTCTTTTGAGTGGAGAAGGTTAGAGGGGGCAGGTGGGCACAAACCAATAACCTTAGTACAGTGCATTCTATAAGCCTTTATTTCCAAGTCATTTGTTAAAGATGTGGCCACCCTAGATCCCCCTTTTACCTAGGACGTTCAAGATTCCCTATAGATATCCATTTCTATACATCATAATCTTAAAAGCTGATATTAATGAATGTCAAAGTTGTGTCTTTTCGAACACTGATATAAAGCATTCGCCTTGGTCAAATCTCTGAGAATAAAAACATGGAAAACATTCTGATTCCTTCCCAGCTCTTGAGCAACTGCAGTTCTAAAGATGCACAAAAAATCTACTAGATGTCAAAGACTGTGTGAAAGACTGTGAAGAGGAGCACAAAACGTATCAAAGCCATTTAGCTTGGGCATTGATTGATCTTTTACTGTAAATGTTCAGACACACAGCCATCTGGATCAACACATTTTAAAGAGATTCCCCAGAACTTAAAATATACAATGGATGGCAGTAATCCACAGAGTTCACCATCTTTTCCTATGAGCAAAGAGCACTGTGCACAGTTGACATGCCTCACATCTCTGAAATGTCAATAAAACAGGTTCCAAAGACAAAAGCGGACCTTTTTTCCTAGAAGCACTGTTTTCTGGAGGTTCTTAAGTGCTGTACGTGTTCAGGGAAACGATGAGACCATCTTATACAGTTTCTCAAAAAAAGTTTTGTTTTTGCTCTCCAACAGCTTAAAATGAGAAATCACACCCACAGTGGTACTCCATGCTGCACAACTATGCATCTGATCACGGCTATCATTACTCCACTTACTGTAGGTTTCCAATGGAAATATTACTCTAACCCTCAAAGAATAACTGCACTTGCCAATGTTGGCCAAAATAACTATTCTGAATATGGTATTTTCAGCAGAACTTTACAGTATTATTGTAAAAGAAAGACTACACCTCAAAACTTAACTTCTTATCAATGGAACTTTTATTATGAGTACTACAGTACAGTATGTAGTTATCTGAGCTTTTTTACTTGTAAAAAGGTCCATAAATATTTTTTTTATCAGGGTGCGTGCTATAATTGTGTACAGTATATCTCTATTTCTAGGATGATTGCAATTCAGTGTTCAAAATGCATACAGCACACTGTATCATGGATTCTTTGTATTATTGCTTAATTTACACAGATCCTTACCTAACATCAAAAAATGTGTAAATGCATCACTAAAGGCAACTAATGATAACAGGAGAAAATAAAATCAGTTTCCATACAATCCAAGTGCAAACCAGAAAAAACATTCAGAAATCTAAACTGTACTAGCAAACAGAAAAGACACTTTCTTGCTTCTGTAGGAAGGAAAGACCAAAATACAAAGCAATTTTAAATTTTTTACACACAACAGACAAATTTAATCAATGTCTTGCTACATTAAACAGGGTAAATTATATAATGGGTCTTATCTTATTAGTTAGTAGCACCTTGAAACTATTGTTTATTTATAAAACTAAAAGAAAGATGTAAAATACATGCAAATAGGATTTCCGTTTTTGTCACATCTCAACATATTGTCAATTATATGGTAACCATCTGGAAAGAAAACACTTTTTAATTTTCATGGAAAGCAACCAGAGATATAACTTATGACTCTACAATGTTAAGTAAAACTTAAAGCAAAAAATGCAAAAACTAAAACACCAGCTTAAACCTTTTCTTAGGGTTTCACAAGAAAGAACATTTCATTAGAGCCATTGACTGGAGATGTTCACCTGTGTAGCAGTTAATGAAAATGCATTATCACAATGGCACCCAGGTAAGGCATCAAAAGGGAAAGGCAGACTTAAAACAACAGTTCCTATTTTCAATTGCTTTTAAGTTTGACAATTAGGTGATGTATTTTCAGGTTTAAATATTACATAATTCCTTCAACAAGCAACATTTTAATTAGCCTGAATCAAATAAAAGGTTGCCACTGCCAGTAGAAATCCACAGACTGGCACCATGATGTACATTTTATATTTCTGCCAAGCAGTCTCCTTGATGTCCACTTCATTGTTCCTCTTGGTTTTCTTGCGTCGCCCTTTCAGCCTCTTCTCAAATGCCTCCAATTCAGCCTTTATCACAAAAAACACATGACAAAGATTAAATAGGTTGTTGTCACCTCCAGGGTTCGTGCCTAGTCATAAAACACAGCTTGAACTTTCACTTCACTTTCCCTGCATGCCACACTGTTAAAATCATTTGATAAAAACAAGTTGTGAAATGTTTCAGGAAGGCACTCACAGGGGGGTCAAGAAAAATTAGAAACTCAATTTAAACACATGAGCTGATGCTGTCAGATGAAGGATATTCTTATGTAACCTTGAATTAATTTCAATTCCAAATAAATTAATCTTTTTTTTTTATGGACGTAAGGTTAGTGAAAGTACCATGCTTTAAAAAATACTGAAATGTAATAGCATTAGTTGTACTCCAGGGACACAGTATGTCAATCTGAGACTACAGAAAGAAAACAGCAGTAACTAGAAGACATCATACCCTATTTCTATAAAATCTGGAACTCTCACCATGTTTTCAGGAAAGTACAAGCTGGCAAATCAGCAGGAATTGCCACTTAAGGACTGCTGAATACGGTTTTAATGCACTCACAACAATTAAGATTGCAGTTAACCCTGCATGTGCCTGTGACAGCGAGTCTGTTTTCTTGAATGTCACAGGAAAGTTCCCCATTTTTAATCATCCCCATAATAATCTTGGACGGTTAAAGATTGTATAAAAATTAAAAATACAATAAAATGATCAAGTCTATAACAAAACATGTCTTTTACAGCACAGTGATCAATCGGCAAGATGTTTAATACAAGAGAGATTTCAGCATAAAAGGGCTGATGATTGTGGTGGTAAAGCCTAAAACTATCACATACAGTACACCAACAGTCCAACTAGAAGGTCCTTGAGCATGAATGACTCAGTTTTTTACATAATATATACTGATATATACTGATGGAAAAAAGAAACATTTTCTGGAATGAAAATTCTATAGTTATAGCTTATGTACTTTCACAAAAAGTTGTCAATTTGTTTTAAGCCTGCTGACCAGCAATACAGCTTGTGCAGTTAGGCACTGCAACATGCCAATCACATGAAAGTTCGTTGGGTGTACTTTTACCCAATGAGGTCCAAGTGGAACAATACCTGATCAGGTCACCTTTAAAAAGGCCAGGTTTAGGTCACTGCAAGAAAAAAAGCCCCACAGTTTTATGTGCATTCCATAATGTCTCAAATGTCACCAGAAGCAAGGGAGAGGGCCATTTGCATGCTGCAGGCAGGCATGTCTATGCCAGCGTTGCCAGACACTATGCCTCTCCACTGTCCCGACTGCAGGGAAGGTTTCAGCATACCGGAAGTACAGATGACCATCCAAGATCCAATCGCCATTGAGTGACCACACCAGACCAGGACAAACATATCAGAGATCGAGACCTGGATGGAGAACTGTCAGAGAGACCAGTCCCTCTGCTCACACCTCCTAGACGTCACACCCAACCGGCTTGGGCTGGACAGAGGCTGCGATGGACTCGTCAGCAGTTGCATCAGGTCCTCTTCGCGGATGTGTCACTCTTCAGCCTGTTCCACGCAAACGGGAGGGCCAGAGTGTGGAGGAGGAGGTGTTGCATTTCTTTTTTCCATCAGTATAGTATATATAGTTACATGTAATGCAACACAGTCTAAGAGTGTAACTGAACATCACAACTCTCAGACAGTTGGCAGCAACAATATTACTTCTAGACACTTGCAGGATAAAGAAACAAGCACTTATAGTAGATAGTAGATTTTGCCAAACTAAGGGCAAGGGTTTAGGATTAAGACTTGATGGGGGTATGATTAAAAGGCATAAATTAAGGATTTCTCATGGCACTAGTTACATCTTAACTAACTTGTAAGCATACATTGTTTCAGCTCCAGACAACGTACAGTGTCTCTTTCACTGGAGTAGCAGTGTAATAGTAATATCTTTGGTGTCAGGTGCATTAATTACATATAGCTGTTCTTCACCACTAAGCTAAGTTGGAGGTCAGGATTTAGTTGGACCTTGGAAAAACAAAATGGGATTTGACAGTCAAGTGTAGCCACATAGTGTATGTAGAACTTTTTTCTTTTGTGTGGTGGGTATAAAAAGGCTGAGATTTTAGTAAAATATGCCCAATTACAGCAATGAGACAAGATAAGAGGTCAATTGCCACTCTACGAAGACCTGCTGAGTAAATCAGCGATTTGGCCATTATATTTTAGCTCTATCTCTGGAAATGAAGAGAAAACAAATCTGTAAATGAGCTTTACAATGAAGGCTGAAGGTTCTGCCCTGCATGCAGCAGATATTTTTTGAGGTAAAACCTGGACTTAACATTTGCTCTAGTTCAATACGTCCATGTAAGAGTCACTTTACTTGTTCCACCTCTGCAAGTTGATGGAATTTTTGTTCCACAAATCTCTGACCAAGTTGCTGTTGTGTACTGAAATAACCCCAGAATTAAGTAGTAGTATTATTGCTGGAGAGATTCTTTAGGTCTCCAGGCCTCCCAATATTGACTCAATGGGGACTCATATTGGTAGAGAAATCTGGAGGGAACGCAGCTCATGTACACAACAGTCTACCACAAAGGCCAAACTGGCCGAATATTCCAGACAGCCTCAAACACGGGTCAGTTTCTCAGAGAAATCTGTAGTACTGGGCTGTGTGAAAGTCCAAGACAATGTCCTGGCTGGGGCTACTTGCAAGCCTGCGTCCATAGGGCCGGTGGACAGCATAACCAGGCGGCCAGAGGGCAAATGACTAGAACTAATTAAGGAAGAGCAGTCCGACTCACAAGAGCCACAAAAGCCTTTTAACTGCAGCTGCTACTCCTAGTGAGCAGGGCAGTAGTTCCATGGGGAGGTGACTACATTCTCTAGTCAGCAGCACCTTGGAAAAGGAAGACAGCCAGAACCTACAATGGACCAGAACCTTTATGAATGGGTTGGGGCAGAGGCTCCCACACTCAAGCCAATACTAAAGATTATGACCTAGAATTTAGATACTGGGTGTCATGCCAGGAGTGGCCACCAACAGGGCAAGTCATCCAGAAACAACAGCGTATTAGGTAGGGGCAATGAAATGGTAAGGGAGCAATGCGTTCTCCCCTATTTTATTCTGTGACTGTGTGACATTATGGGTTCAAGGAGCCGTCATTCTGCATTGTGCCTTGCAGGTGTGGGCATTAGGAACAAGCTGGCCATACTCAGCCCCAGCATGAGGGAGGGAGAAAGTGAGTGTCAAGGACTCCTGCTGGGCTGATTGAGTTTGGAGAGGATCAGAGACTCTCCTGTGAGCTGGAAGGTCAACCTTTGGTGTCACCCCCCGAAGGCAGGGGACTGAGATATAAATAGGGGCACACTTCCTGTGCTCAGAGGAAGCACAGGGATAGTGTGTACATACCATTCAGCTACAAAACGTTTAGTCTCATCTGTTACATGATGTCTGCGATAAACCTGCTGAACCCAAGCAGTAATAATGTGGTTACAATAAAACCATTTTATTACACCTACTGTGTATTTAGTTTCAGTCCATTTACCCAGCAAATAGTGGTTGGAATGTTAATATTTTAAGTACCGAACAGCTTTGTGATCTTACTTTTGATGTGAATGTTCGTACCTGTGATTGTTTTTCAAATAATTGTTTTAACTGAATGTTCTTTCTCATACATGAATATCACTGCACTATTCCACTATATACAGTACTCCTACACAGACACGCTTGGGGGCATGTGTCACTCTGCAGTGGTTTTCAAAAACTATGCAGAGAAATTAGAGGTACTGTGAATAAATCACAGCCACAAACTGTAATCTGTACTGTAATGTGTAAATCATTCACAAATTATTTCAGTACATTTCACAAAGCATGTTACTTGCAAATATCAAACCTAAAGTCAACCTCAACATGTTTTTTAATGATTCAAACTCGAAATGTACTGTATACAAATTCCACTGCAACCACAATAAGTAAAAAACCTTTCTATAACATCAGTTCCCCTATAAATTTGGGTTTATGCTGCATCCTGGTTATTCTGGTTTTGCTCAAAGGCATAGGCAAATAAAATAATATTGTGACAGTTCAGATATGCAAAGAAGAAAATCAGCTTTCACAAATATACAAATTGTATAAAAAAACTCATGAGTGCACAAATAGAGATTTTCTGCATTAATACTGTACATAGCACGCTAATTTCCATTTTCAACCCACTTAGTGCTTCATGTTCTACACTGGTATCTATGTCTTGTTTTAAAAAAACAGTTCAAAAAAAAAATCCAGAATTTGTGTTTGACAGAAGGATCTTGCAAATTCATAAGAAGATGTACATACAGTATGAGACAAAACGGTAGGCACAATAGATGTGGATTAATAAGTAAATGTGCATCAGTTTTTTCACAGGTCATACTGTACACCACTTTAAATTATCTAGACTACTGGAATGGAATTTCAATGTAAGTTAGAAGTCACTGAAGTCAAGGAAATGTAAAAGGTAAATGAGAAAGCCAGCCCTTCCAGAGAAGTCTATGAAACAATATGAACATGGCAAGGAAAATATTTAATGTGGTGACTTTAATTATATATTAGGCATTATATTAAAATGGGATGATGGGAACATACTTGCTTATAAATAAATATAAACGTATGATTTAAAATGCTACTGTATGTGTAACACGTAGTGATACATTTTTCATTTATAATTATACAGATCTGAGTGTACTGAAGGGAATGGCTTGAATAAATTCAAATGCATCCCATTTACCTGAATATTTTCTTTTTTAAATAGTGAAAGACAAAAAAAACGCATTTAGTTTTTAAAACATTTGTTTACAACTGGGATACAATCATCTATTGGTAATTTCGGTATAACTATCGATGATTTGGAGCTCAAAAATGCACAAAACAGGGTCATTATTTTTTAAGTCAAAGCTGATGTTGATGCAGACATGCTTGTCTTTATTCTGCTTTAAGTGCAGCATGTTGTTTGCAAACCATTAATCAAACAACAGTGTTTTATTTCATTGTAGGAATACAGGTGCTTTACTAAAATGTATTCCATCAGGGTCATATGGTAAATTTCAAGCTGTACACACAACATAATGCAAGCAGCAACTTTGGCAGTGTACAGGACTATAAATTACCCAAGATGTGATTAAATGACCCATGGTCTTGGAGAATCTCTCTAAATTGTAGGTTAAATTGTGGATTAAAGCAATGCAACAAACTAGGAAATGCATACACTATGATTGTCTAATAATATACAAATATGATCCAATTTGTCCTTTAAGACTACCAGAGGCAATTTTAATATGTTCTACATTTAAATAATGCAATTCTACTAATTTACATTTACACATTTTTTAACATTTGGTTCAAGTTGTAATTGAGGAGGTGGAATTCATAAACATTGGAATGATTTAACCCTTCTTGATAAGATATAACTCACTTGCTGTCGTCTCTTTTCCTCCTCAATTGCTGCTTTTTCTTCTGCTTCCTTCATCTGAGGAAAAACGGAACATTCTTTAGTTGGACACAGAGACAAACGCTGGATTTGTCACTATGGATTCACATATCATAGAAATTACAAAGGGTGAATGCAAATAACACACAATGGCCACACAGAATTACTATTAATAAGAAAGTTTGACCCGTCATCATATTCTTTACAGATGTGACATTTTTCTTAAAAATGAAGAAATGCAGAGATGAGTAATGCATTAGAATCATACACATCATATAAAATACTTGCATAAATCAAACTTAAAACCTTACTGTCCAGCTCAAAACACCTTTTCCCCATTACCGTTTTAAAACACTTTTGTTCAAACTGTATATAAAAGGGAAAAGTGCAGCAAAACATCTAAGTTCTTTCCTCATACATACAGTATCATCACTTTTTATGATCTACAACAGTTATTTCACTTAACTTTTGTGGTCATAAGTTCACACTCAAAAAACAACTAAGATCCCTTCAAGATGTTGCTTCTATTAAATGTGCATTGTCTTTCTCCTTCTACACAGTCTGAACTGCTTCCCTTTAGATTTCACATCCTTCACTGGATAATTTGGAGGGAAGAGTGAAGCTGGTTGTTGAATCATTCTGACAAAACGATGACTTAAGAAAAAATGATGCAGCTCATATTGCCACCAAGACAGGAATTCTAAAGAAAACACCTCAGATTTTCTTTGACAATATCTGCTTTTTGTTTTTTAAACACTGCAAAGCAAAGCCCTGAACAAGCTACACCTTAAGTCAAAAGAAGTTACTCAATACTGTGAGCTTGAAAAGGGAAAGAATGTACTAGATTGTAAATATCCCCAATCTTTTTTTTGTCATTTTCTTAATAACATCACTCCGAATTATAGCATGTTATCCTGTAAAATAAGTGACACAAAATGGGGATAAACTGCTTTGTTTACATAAAATGATAATATAGGTATTTTTCAATTATGTGTTGGGGCACAGTGCATTTTCTGTGCTAACTTAAACACTTCAAATGAGGTTTATAACAGGACACAACATTCATATACATTTATCACACTCTTAAGTGTCATTTAACTCATACCTACAAAGTGTCAGAAATGCAAGAGTTGACAGCTTATATCTTAGAACCTGCAGAAATTTGAAACATGATGCAGCACAGTCTGGCAATGAAAGGAAGCACTCAACAAGCGATAAATTATTACTGCCTTATCTTTGTCTGCCCCAGATCTCTTTTTTTGTATTTTAAAACCTACAATTTATCACGTTGCAGCTATAAATGTTTGGTCTTATTAATTTCACACTAATGCACACGATCTGCCACATTATTTGTTAAAACTGGAGGAGCTAGGACAATGTATTCATTGTAAAAAGTAATGGTATCACCGAGTTATATTAGCAAAGAAAGAATGTGCTGCATTGTGTTCTGTATTCCCTGTCAAATAGGTGGTAAATAGGGGGTGTATACTCATTTACTTACTGTACTTGCATAGCATAGTAATTAAAACCAGATAATGATTGGAAATGGATATTTAATTTTTTATACTCTTGATTTTAACCTCCCGTTATTTAATTATTCACACCCCTAACCCATTACAGTAAAGATAAGACACTTTTCATTAGGTAGTTATGGGAATGAAGTATGCATATTATTTGTTACTTCTACAGAGGAAAGACAATTAGGCTTATTGCAGTGCTTGTAGGATGGGAACCAGATTCCAGCGGTATTTAATATTAATCCCTCAATAATTAGTTCCTGTGAAAATCGATATTAATACAACATACATTTACATTTATTAGTGTAAACAAGACTGCTCATTAAATCACATGCTCAAATAGTGTTGAGCTAATTACTGTCCCTGTATTGTTTTTGCATTCTCTAGTCTTTTCAGCCCAGCTCTGCAGTACAATGCAATATAAGTTTGAGAGACACTCAAGGCAGAAAATGTAAGGACATCGGTAATGAACAAACACTCAGATTAAATACCTCAGACGCCTTCTTCTGCAAGTCCTTGCATGCCTCATCACATTCTACAACGACCAGCCCTTCATGAGCCTTGAAGCAAGGGTACTCCTGTGCAGATTGAATCAGGGTTTAGGTTAGGCTTTCAAAAAATAGGCATACAAAAGGGTGAAATCACCTTGTCATAAATCATCTCTTCAGAAATTAATTTCTGGGAAAGGTGACTTTCCAAATTAGTAGTGGTTAAGTGAGCATTTAGGTCTCCTGTGAACCTAGTACTTTTCCCATTTCTGGTGGATCATGATTCCATCTCAGAATGATGGAAAAAGAGCATGTACTTTCTTGCTTGGTTCTAGACATCTACTATCAACTTTTTTAAATTTTTAAAAAGAATAGTAAATGTATGGTATGCAAGCTAAGGCAGAACAATGACAAATGGCTGATACATGCTGAGCTGCAAAGAACCAAATATGTTGTAACAGACACATTCAGGCTTAAATACTGCATCAGCCCTAGTGAATGGACGCTATCATGTTAACCAGTGATGTGATGTCAATGATGCCAAGCATAGCCAGCAAACTCCCAGTTCTCAAAAGGCTTTCACATTATTATACATTAGCAATAAAGGTATAGGCACTTCATATTATTCTAATACATTAAAATACTAAAACTTTGAGTAAAAGAAAAATGAATCATCTCTAGATTGTTACTTGGGCTTGATGCCAGAACCTGTTATTTGGGTCATATGAACAACCTGTTTCAAGACGTGAAATTTCAGCAATGTAATCCTCCTCCAGACCACAGTCTGTGAGTTTAGATCTTACAATCGAGAACAACTACATTTATTATGAAAGACGTTAGACAAATATTTGATACAAACCGAACTCCAATGTCATATTCTGCACACAAACATGTGCATCATGGGATCACTATTATTTTAATCTATTTCTATCACATACCCTTCAAACCATGATAACAATTAACTAAAAACGTACCCTTTTGATTCTTTTGCACGGACATCTGAGCTTCACTTTTTGACTGCAGATCCCCACGCAGGATCCTGGATGGCAGGTCTCTTTGCAGCGATGCCCACATTGCAGCTAAACAAGCAGAAGAGGGGAATAATACATCCGGAGGAAGAAAACCATGTGCCCTTACTTTATAAAAATCTACTTCACCTGGCCCTTCAAATATCTTGGATTTAACCACCAGAAAAAAACTTGGAATTTCTTTAAGGTGAATAAAGGAGTGATTGAATAGCTATAAAATATAAATGAAAGAATCAATTTAAGTAGGGAACTATGATAGCACCTTCACCAGTATACTGGTCTGATAAATTATTTCTCAGTTTGCATTCATTGAAATTACCTTTTGACATTTTCGCAGAATGGGCGTCTTTTTTTTTAAAAAAAGGCTCCATATGGGTCTTTTTGACATTGCTATTTGGTCAAAAACTGCTAGTTACAGACGCAAGCTAGATAAGTAAGCTGTACACCTGTAATAACAATACTAGCAGGGGATAAGACATCGCCCATTGTCCATACAAACCAGCTCCACTTTGAAGATTTCCAGCAAGAAAAAGAGTGTCTTTGTCAAAGATGTTGGAATAAGTCAGTGACTACAGCCACTCTCTTTTTAAAATAAGGTTTTCTGGGACCTGCAACCCCGTGAAGGTAAAACTCATAATGAAAATCAGTACAGGTCAGAATAAAGAAAGAAGGCTGAATAACAAGTTTCATGGTTGTGAATCAGGTCCAGAGGAAGAGAAGAAGTAGTCACATATGGAGTATGAGAAATACCTAGTTTATCTTTTTTTTGTACTCTCCTAAGTGGGGATCACCCTGCTCAGCTGCTGCTTTCACACAGCTAAACAAGGGGCCCAAATGTGGTTCAAAGCAAAAAGCTATACTTGTTCAAACACTTATTGTAGGAAAAGTGGTCAAAAAGCTGTCAGGCCAGCTAGTATTGGCAAAGTACACTAATGCTTTGAAAACTTTAGGGTGTCATTGGTTAGAGAATTTCTGAAACATCACAATTGTGCACGGGTAAGTGAAAACAAATATAGTCATCATTCAGTTTGTGGTACTGCAATGTTGAAAACTATAAAAACGTAGCTTGGAATAATACGAAAAATGGAGTACAATAGCGACAAGTCAAATCAAATCAAAACACCTTAGTGTCCCATTTACTGTACATAAAAATGTGGTATTAATTCCTCAACTGCCACAACTATTCAATCGACATATATCAAATCCTGATGACTGAACATGGCAAAACACCTAGATATGTCAGAACAGATAGATAATCAGCACCTTAGAGCCATTTAAAGTTAATAATGGTCAATTGGTCAAACAGATGAGGTCATAAATTAAAAACCCCACAGTCCAATGTGCTCTTGCTGTTTTTTTAAAGGTCACTTCTCAGTTTGCAGAGGACTCTTTTTAACAAGCTAAAGTATACGGTCCCTAATTGCTTCTCAATGCAACCACATCCACAGCGAGAAAGCTTTTCCACTAGTTTTACACCCTTAACCTGCTTCTTTTGATGAAAGTCTCTAGTGTAATCTAGCAGAAGGAAACATGCAATTAAGAAGAAAATGTAGCCATTTTAATTAAACCAACTGCAGGGAATCATCTGAACATCTTGTGCTTTTTCTGAGGCAAGCACAGAGTGCCAGAGATTGCTAGCCCTTACCATTTATGGTGTAACTTTAGGGAAACCCAGCAGCTTGTAATGCCTCAAACTCAAAGCAACGATAATACAAATAAAACTTTCAGAAAAATAATACAAAAGCATAGAATCAAATGTAATGCTGCCAAAATGTGCCAACTTCAGATTTAGTTTGCTCAAAAATCTCAGATATTTGTTAAACTGATTCAGATTTTTCTTATTTTGGTCATTTCACCAAAAAGCAATTAAGTAAATAAATAAAAAGAATAATATACGAAAATGAAACAGCTTCTACCACATCGTTATAAGTCAACACCCCTGCCTCTGCGCTCGTCATAACTAGCTTACTGTTTCCTAGTATTTAAAATGTTCACAGGCATAAAAAACTCCAATAAGAATTAAAGACAGTGAAGAAACAAGAATATACAGAAAAGGCTGTTTGCCGTCTCCTGAAGTACATCAAGATTCATGTCCTTCAGCTTTAAGATTTATTAATCCAAAACTCATTAAAATTGTCAGTTTGCCATTATGTATTACAATAACAATATTCACTGCTAAAAATAAAACAAAGATGCCCTGTTTTCCAAAGGCCAAAAGGTTAGAAAAGGCTAGTCAGTACAGTAACATACAATTCATACACCACATTCCTAAAACACCTGATAAAAATGTTTTCTACACTGAGAGCACATCTGCCCATTTATTTGCTTGTTCTTCTCATTTGTTCCCCTTTCACACACTTGAACGATCAAAACTTTATTGCTTTACTCAGTAACATGGGTCCAATCTTTAAACAGAATTACCTAAGAGTTTCAAACTAACAGAAATAACAGGCAACAACAAAAATAAAAAGACAGGGACAATCAACCTCTCAAAAAGTAAGGTCCTCAAAATGAGGTTTGGATTCTAACTTTTTATTCACAGTGCTTCACAATTCACAATGCCTTGTTCAATTGTCTACATGGCTAAATGAACATTTTGAAGGCTGGGGCTGATTGAAGGGCTCAGATAAAGAGTAATTGTCTCTATAATTAATCATGTCTTTGGGAGCTCTTGTGTACTGTTTGTAATGCCTTCGGCAACTATCGCTGTTCAGGTTTTCACCATTCTTCTTCCACAGCCTTGCTCCCTTCTTGAATTTATGAGGTACATAACTAGCCACTTAGCTGTGAATAAATCAACCAGATAGGAGAAACCAGCTGTGCAGCAGTAGCAGATAAATGCTTGACAAAGTTTCACTGAGACTAAAAACTCAGCTCTATTAGGATTTACTTTAGAATGACGTCCCTTACTGTACATCATATACAAGTAGACCGATTTGTAAAAAAAATTACAACCTTTTTCTTCAAACCACTGCTATAATGTATTTTTAGTAATGGTGTAGTATTTGTGATGGACGGTGAAACAGATAAGGAAATCATCAGATTCAACACTAACCTGATGTACTGTAATTAGAACTACTCTTTACAGTGTAATCAGGCATACGGTATGTAGAATGCATGAGAATACCACACAGCTCATTTTACCATTGATTAAAATTAAAATAGCAACCCACACTCAAACACTTTTGAAATTATTTTATTTTGAGGCAAAGTCTTATTTGTGCCAGACATTTCATGATTTTCGAATTCTTTTTTTTTACTAGAACAAACCATAAATAAAATTGTTTTTAGTTGTTGAATAGAACTTTATGTCAAGGAAATGAAACATATGCAAGCAGGAAGAAAAGCATTTGTAACAGACTAATCTAAGCTGGCTCGCAATTCAATTACCTCCAGTTGTTTTTACATGAAGGCAAATTCATGTCAAGCTTTACAAATAAATAATATCCTATGTGAAAATACTGCTGTGACCCAGGTCAACAGATTTCAAAAATGGCCAAGACCTACTGCAACTGATGTTAAAAACTGCAACATTTTTCCTGAACGTTTATCATATCTGGAGTCTGGCCTTTGGCATCTATTTGTCCTTGTGATTTTATTTTTGAAGATGGACGAAATGCCCTGGGTTCCTTTCATAATGCAAAAAATCTTTGATGCACAATAAAAAGATTTTTGCAAGTCCTACTAATTTATTGTATCTGTTTTTTTTTTTCCAACCTCCTTAGTGAATTGAGGAAGTTAACTTCAAAATGCACAGCTGCCAATCAGCCTCTTGGCATTTTTTCTCGGCACCAAAAAAGAAGCTGCCCTGCATTTAAAGCTGTTCCTCATCATTTACTCTTGTGTTGACTGCGCCCTCTAGCGGAATATAAAGATCCACTTAAAGATCACCATTGTCGATACATTAAACTCACTGACAGACTGCAATTATCCCAGTGAAAACCACAAAAGCTGTACCTTCACTTTCATTTACTGTATGTGGTTCTCTATATACATAGTGTCCATATCTGTGCATCAGAGTCAGTTCTAATAGATTTTTCATCAATTCATTTTTGTAAGATGTTATATTCAGTTCAGATGTATTTTTCCCTTCATTCCCCTGTTTGTATTTTAGGAAGATGTATTTTATGAGCTTGCAGTGCTAGGCTACAGAAGTCTACAGCATGTTTTACAGCATGATGACACAAAGTAACTGAGTGCAAATATATTATTAGCTGACTTTTACATTAACCATTGTGCAACTTCTTTAGATGAATTAACAATTTCGCTTGAAAAACAGAGATTACTAAAATGTTAAAAAGCATGTAGTAGTTTCGATGCAATAATCTATGACTGCTGTTTGAATAGAAAACACATTCAGCTTACAAGAACAGCTAAGTGCTGCTATACTACAGTGCCCCCTAGTGCTGTGGATTTAAACATTCTAAACCACTTAAAATCATTCATGAAAACTTTGGGGCCTCTCTTTTGCAGGAAACAAACTGGTGAAGTTAATATGCACAATTTAGGAAATTTCCTATCTTATTTAACATGTAGCACACAAAGCACAATTTCATTTCTACTTTGCTCCGCAAATTACAACATGAAACTGTTTGCTAACTCCACCGTCTGGAAATGCCAACCTGTATCCGTTTGTCTTGTTGATGCAAAAAAAAAACAACTTACGATTAAGTGTACTGAGGCAGGAAATACCGGATAAGCAGTGCACACAACATCGCCGCGCTACATATTTACAAGTGCTGAAACGTACAGAACATGAGGCTTATGATTCTGCTTCTAAGCAACTGCGGATATAAACATCATGTGTCTAGGCCCTCTGGTATGCATGACTCTCCCACGCATATTGTCAAAGATGTACTGTAGTGAAAAAGTAGTGTTTTTCTCAATTCTTTTTGCTAAATTGAGATAGTGCGTTTATAAAATGTATAGGCATTTAAAAATGTTAAACGGTGAGATTCACAATTTCTAAGCAGTATGACAAATCCAAAGTGAATCTTGCATGTGCTATGAGTTTTGCTATGGAAACCTAACCGATCATACTCCCACAGTGCAATATGCACCTCAGGGAAAGTGAAACAGCATCTTCAAATGGCATTAACATCTACCCTGCTCATAACAACGAATATGAATGAGGGCGGGAGGTTATAAAATACCAAAAAAAAAAGCAACAAAGTAAGCATTTGTCAAGAATTTCAAAAATGACCGGTGAGAAATGGTGAAATATACCTGCTTAGGACACTGGTTTTTACAGGAGCCCAGCAGCCTTTTTGTCTCATTGTCAGCTGTAGTAATCTTCCTACAAAAGCAAATTGGAATTGAAAACATTAGCGAAGGATACCTGAACACTGTGAATGTCCTTCATTGCTTATGATAGTGTTATTTACCCAGAGTGCATTTAAAACATTTTCTAGTTTTTTCAGATGTACTCAACGTACTGTAGCATCTGCCTATTCAGTGTGCACTGACTCATTCATAGTCCTCTGTCATTCTTTCAGAGTCAACCAAGTACCTTCTTGTGCTGAACCTATATGTAAGCGACCGAGGAATTCATAGGAATATACAAGTATTAAGGTTATTCGTTTTTATATACTTTATACATTTTGGAATCCCCAACAAACTACCTTCCCCCAATCAAGACATTCACAAAAGATGATATAGGATATCAAAAGCAGTAGATAAAACAAAAATATGTCGTTTAAATATAATTACATACACTTCCTCCACAGAACTGCTTCAAAACTTTACCGTCTCATCTTTACATAAATTCTTAAGTGTAGTAAAGTCAAAATGACATTCCCTCTGTTTATGAAAATGAATAACCAAAAATATAAATCTTTAAAACAAAAAATGTGAATCTACAGTATGGTATGTATGGTTACATATTAAAATTATATCTACATGTAAGCTTAGGGAAGCTGTGGGGGAACATCTAACAGGATTGTAAACAAATAGCCTTTACAATCTTCAACACAAACGTTGAAAAAAATGCTTTTGTGGAGAGCATATGTTTTCACAAAAGCAAAATTGGCATTTAAACCAGCATCAGGGTAACATCAGCTAGACCACCTTGTCCTTTCATCATTTTATCAGAATTTGGAATTTGCCACGTGCTATCCAACCTGATTTGATGGTACAGTACTGCAATCTGCATGCATAACCACATACCCCATCTTAACTGACAGATCTGAATAAAAACATAAAGGGGATCTAGTAACAGGAGCACAAGTTTCAGGATGGTTTGATGGTATCATCCCATTCACGATCCAAGTGTCATCTTGGAAATATACCCACAACTTCAGTCTCAACAAGGAAACACAGACCAGAGCCGTGTGTCCAGAATAAGCTACAGTATTGCATAACTTTGGGGAGCCCCTTTTCAAAAAGATCTAAACACAGGTCTCTGCAGGTCAATATGATGCTAACAGTCTCCATGAACTGAATGGCATTCTTCACACTCAGAATATTTCTGGTCCTACGTGCCACATTAATCCTTGATCCCATTTTAGCTAGGACACATAAAAGAAAGAATACCCCTATCTCTGGCTTTTCCTACATTGTATTGCACAGCCTAGGAAGGTTTTCTTTTTCTGAAGTTCATGGATGGAAATATCAAGCCGACAGTCATATAATACTTACAAGCACTCAACGAAAAGGGATGTTATCTTGCAGTGACATTTGAGTCTGATCATCTGTGTGCAGGAAGGGCAGTCTCCGGAATGGCAGGGCAGGGGGCAGGGGTGAGGGCAGCCTGGAGGGCGAGGACAACTGCACCCCTCTTCGCACTGATGGCACTCCTTACCCGCCTGCAACGGGGAGCAGGAAAGACATGCATAAAATACTCAGATGGGCGATGTAATAACCTGTCAAAAAACACCAATGTGCTCTGCCCTGTGGTGAGGTTACATGCTTGAATCAGGATCGTCGTGGGTCTCAGAAATGAGTACCATGGCAACCTTATATCCGTCCCTCACAGACCAAAATACATGGCTTTCCCAAGTGTGGTGTTTTAGTTGCTCTGTGGCTGAATTACTTGGCACGGTGGCACAATGGTTAGCATTGCTGCTTAGTAACCCTGGGGCCCAGGATTCAATTCCAGACCTGGGGTGCTCTTTCTTTGTGGAGTTTTTATGTTCTCCCCATGACTCCCCAGGGTTTCTTCCTGGTGTTCCAGTTTCTTCCCACAGTGCAAAAACGAACTGTACTGGCAGGTTAATTGGCTTTTGGGAAATCTGTCCCTAGGTGTGACTGTATGCATGTCTACCCTGAGATGGAGGTGTACCCAGCCTTGCACCTGTTGCCTGCTGGGATAGCTCCGGCTCCCCTGCAATCCTAAATTGGATGAAATGATTAGAAAATGGATGGACAGCTGAATTGCTTTCTTCTATGATCTTGGGGTTCTGCTTTTCTGGTAGACTGTTACTTAAAGTCTCCTAACCAAACCACAAAGCCATGCTAACTCAAGAACTGAAATCCCAGACTTACGTGACACTTTGAGCTTCAACAGAAACAAGGCTAGTGGTTATTGGCTGACTTTTTTATTTAATAATGACATTTCTTTAGTGTTATCTGTCACATGAGGTTAGATTAATCTACTGTTAGGACTTGGTGAGGACTAGATGTAGGTCAGATATATATTTCTATATATTTAAAACCATCAAATCGTAAGGGGGTGTGTTTTCTTTTTCACATCACTGTATATACACCTACACAGATGCATTCTTGCTGCCATGGTCAGCCACAGGGTCTGAAAGTCCTCAAACCCAAATCCCCTCTGGGATAAGAGCAACCATTCAGTCACCCAGTTTTGGGGCAAGAGAAAATGTTGAACCCTGTCAATTCTCAACCTTATTTTTAAAGCTTTTTAAATGATCTCATTTGGCCAGGTACCCTACTTTTTAACCAATACCCCTGATGTAGCAATAGCTTTTATTTTCCCCTGGACTGCTGCCACTTGGACTCTTTTAAAGTTCTGATGGGGCTCCTTCTGCCCAGCCTTGGTCCACAGTCTTGATTGTGAAGCCAGTTAAGCACCTTAGGTGGCCAGCTGTATTTACGGTATAAAGAGTGTTATTCCTCTCACTCACAAATAAAGAACATGTTGGTTTTTTTTTTTACTTTATAGCTGTGTCTGTTTTCTGAGACTCCGCTATGAAAGACTGCTGCACTCCTGGGCATGTGAGAACAAGAGCAATCTGTGTGTTCAAGATGGATGTTGTACATAACCTGACGTACAAAAACATCAACACAATTCCAGTCAAAACATCAGATGAAACTGCCCAGTAACGCCATGT